GCAGCGGCCCACTGACAAAAGCTTTGCAGAGTTCTTCCTCCTCATCATCTGTTTGTTCCCCTGCCTCCACCCCAGGCAATTGTGGTGGTGGTGAGAAGCAGTAGACATCTCAGTCTACATGCTCACCAGCTCCCTGTGTGCCAAGCAAGTAAGTGGTAGCAAGGATGAGACTCATGATGAAGAGGCAGACATCCTGAAGGAGGGGCTCATTCAGGGCAACTAGCCCAAGGACTCTTCAGGACCTGCAGCTGGTCCTGACCAATGTTTTCTTCCAGTGAGGTAGCAGGAAAGATCTTCCTTGCCCTGCGATCCAGGAGAGCTCCCACCAGTCAGGGGAAATAACACTAAGTTAAATTAACAATTGGTTCTTGCACTCTACACAACCAAGAGAGGGGTTCCAGCTGCATTTCAGCCCCACCTCCTCTCATCCGAGCTATTATCCATGAGCCACAATTTCCGGTGTAACTGCAGCACATGCCTTCCGCCTGGTACAGTGATGCCTGCTAAGTCTACAAGGCAATATACTACTATTCTGGGACGCCTGACAGATCTGAAAGCCAATGCACTCTGTCCTCTTCCCCCATCCTCCCTCTGCGGTCCGTTATCGCCTCTCACTCTGGTTTTCCCGTGAATATTTCGACAGAGCCTTGCCTGCAATTTCCTTAACCTCTACTGGGATGTTGCACAAGAAAACAAACCACACCCAGAGCCTTCAAGACTGAGTCTACTGAAGCTGATGGCAGAGGAAGAAAATGCATTCATATAAGAGCAAGGATTCAGCAGAGTCTCTAAACTAGATTCCTTCTTCTCATTCCCCTTATTCCAAAAGGCAAATTATGTTCATTATTCGATGGATAATTACATTCTATCAGTCATGAAAGTGAAGTGGAATGTCTAAGAGCAGAGGCCATATACTAGGCCTTTTCACTGTGATCACCAGAAGCTTTTAGCTAGTTGCAGCCTTTCCTAACTTCGATTTCCCAGACATCGCTGGCCTACAACTCCCATCAACCCCAACCAGTAGCCATGCTAACTGGGGGTGGCCAGTAGTCAGACAACATCTGGCGACCAAGGCCAGCTTGATTAAGTGAGCTAGTTCTCTTGTTCTTATTGACTGATGGAATTGATTATCACAGACAAAAATACCCAGAGGACAACTCCCATCATTCCTGACCATTGACCATCCTGGCTGAGGCTCTTGGGAGTTGTTCCAAACATCTGAAAGGCACCAGGTTGCCTCCCTCACTCAGATGCATGGAGCAGGAAGGGGACAGGTTTATCAATGGTGGTTGATTGTGATAGCTAACCTGAACATGGGGATGTTTAGAGACTATGTATGCCAGCTACCAGGTGGTAGGAACCAACAACAGGAGAAGCCCATTACTGCCATGCCTTGCCAGATAGCTAGCTGCTAGTGTGTAAACAGAGAGCAGGACTAGAGGGATCTTGGACTGAAATGCCCTTCACATACTGAACAGTGGCGGTGCAGGGTGAACTGCTTCACTGTGAGGCAACCCAGCCCTGCAGGAAATCGTGTTTGAATAATGCAACCCTGGAAATTGAACTGATCACATGCCAGCTCTGTGAGTCAATCATGTTCCTATGAAACAACGAAGTTGTGCTTAAACCTTGATTCCAGACTGGCCAAGGATGCACAGAATGGGGCAACTGCACTGCTACAATATTTGTGTGCAGAACCCCTCTTAGAGACCTTCCAATCCTCCTTCTCAAGAGATGGTCTGTGAGGAGCCCTTGGGGAGAGACCCGAAAGATCAGCTGCACAGCACATGCTTCATAAGGCACCTCCAGTTAAAAGGCTCAGTGAGCAAGTAAGGGAGAAAGACCTCTCCCTGCCTGGGACCTTGCAGAGCTACTCCCTGACCAATGAGGCTGAATGGATAAGCCCCATGACCTGGAAGAAGGCAGCTTTCTCGGTGTCTAACCTGAGCCTTCCCAGCTGGCACATCAGCCACTGTTCACCCCTACTGCAACTCACTTTGCTACAGGGATGGCTGCAATTATGTTGTGTTGATGAGCACCAGCATGCAAAAGACAGCAGCCTGGACCAAGGAGCTGGCTGCTACAATGGGACATGGTGTGACCACTGACCAGTTGCCCCCAGAGAGGAAATGTGTCACCAAACCAGAAGAGAACATTTGCACAACATTTGGATTGAATGTCTATGTAAGATTGCGAAGAGAGAAATATTTAGTGTACTTAAAAACAGGAATACAGGACATCTCATCCTAGTGCAGAAGACTTGTCAGCTGGTGAACTGTGTGCCTGCCTGTTCAGGTGTAAAGTGTGGATGGGCAACAGCTGTTGGGGCTATTTATCTTGAAATTGGAACCACACAGGACTGGACTCGCATAATGCAGGGACTGGCAAAGTTACACCCGTCTCATGTGGGGCCTATTAGAACAGCTGCCAGTGGCTGCATACATCTAAGTGACATGTGCCTGCAAGTTACACATGTGGATAGGTGACTCAGAATTGCATGCATGTTTGGCATCCATGTACACATGGATAGGGCCCACAGGCTGAAAGGAGGAAAAGAGATTCTGATCTGTGTCCCTCGGGCAGCATGCACAGTCCATCCCATGCAGCCTCCTGAATTGCAGCCTAGGGAACAAAAAACAGGCAAGACATCTAGGGCCCACTCAGGAGAGGGCCGCAGAGTGAGGAATGGGCATGCACGTGTGTACACACACACAAACATGACCATACAGATGTGTGTATGCAATGCATACCTAGTCTCTCTCTCGTTCTCTCACGTGTTTATGTGTGCACAATACAGGCATATTCACAAAGACCCATGTAACAGGGCTTTCAAATGTGACTCTAGCTCCATCATCATAAACTGCCAGCAACACAGACTGGGAAAGAAGCATTTTGTGGGAGCATATGCCACAGACTCTGTACAAGCCTCTGTACAGAGTAGCAAGCAGTGCTGCAGAGGAGTCTGCTCCACAAGAAGAACCAAACCAAAACCCAAAACCACCTTGAAAAAACAATCATTAAAAAAATCTTAACAGAGGTTCCTGCCTGCCCCCTCCATATTACCTTGCATTGCATTGATAAAGTAACACCTCCCCCAAGTAATTTATACAATCAACTTGGATAATATAGATCTGTGCATTATAAGAAACATTCTGCAACACACACAGACACCTACTCCTTGTAACATGGGAGATTCCAGAGCTCAAACTCTCCTGAGAAAACATACCTTCCGGAAGCATCCTTATTCCAAATTCAAGAGTAGGGATGCAGTAGGGATGGTAGATGAGGCTTTGAATAGGCACCTTGACCACTCTCAAAAGTACTCCTTTCTCCATTATAATTTTTCCCCTAATCTTCAGTCTCACAACATGCCTATGCTGTAGATTAGGCATATCTGCAGTCAATTAGAAATCTGAGGAAGCAGAATATTGGTAAAAATTCTCCTCAATGGATACCAGATTATACTGGCTGGTGACAAGCTATAATTTTAATGTGTTAATCTCTTAGGTGCTGCAACACACTTTGTGTTGTAGTTTTACAGGTAGGGGATGAGAGAGGCATTTTTTAATATGGTGGAACAGCACAAATGCATTATTTAGTCCCATCTTCACCTCTGGTCAAGTGGGTTTTGCACATTTCTGAAATACCCATCCCTGCAAATGCTCTTTACCAGAGGCAAAATTATAGTGCCTGCACACCACACAAGCAGCCATCTTTCCACGCTGAACTCTCTGCAAAACCACCCAGCCAAAAGTGTTTGTCTGTTCAGTGATGGCCACCTCCTTGCATGGTTGCATGCACATAACTTGGTTACCTCTAGTGTAACTCGGTCAGGGATACTGGTGAAGCTTCAAGGTTGAGGAAGAATATGAACCCAGGCTCCGAACATCCAAACCAATGTATAGCCTTTTGCTCACATACCTCACACATTCCCAGAATAAGCCATACAATCCCTATTCCTGGGCCTAATTCCTGGGCTCAGTTTAAGCCTTGGTTGGCTTACACCAGAGGAAATCAGCCAGTTACATCCATATTCTAAACCACTTCCATCCATGATGGCAACCTGAAAGTTCTCCAAGGCTTTCATAATCTCCTTGCATCATAATAAGAAAGAGCCTTAACAAACATGCCTGCTGTAAATGCCAATATTTAACCAGTCCTGCGGGTGTAGCAGGGTAGGTTTTGTTTTCTGTTTTTTTGCAAACCTGCAGAAACTCAGTTTTTCTGCTGCAACAATCACTTTTGATCACATTTTCACTGGCTTGTACACAGAAGAGACTTGGACATACATGGGATTCTCCATACTTTTGTGCCTCTGCTGTGGAGAAGTGCCTATCTTGAAGCTGTCTGTGTGCCGTAGCAGCTGCAAGTGAATGTTATGCTGATGTGTGCACTTGTGCATACAGGAGACTGGTGTGCTTCATGTGTGTGCTGGTGTGCTTTACAGCTTGGCATGCTTGACTTGTGGTCTGTCCCACTACCCTGGGCTTTGGAACCTTCTAGGAAATCATAACATTTTTCCAGCCAAAGGCATGTTGCCTGGAAAGAGAGACTCCAGAGTTCAAGTGAAAGATTAAAGAGAATGCCACACAAACACACTTTCAAATCAGACCTGTTAGGCAAAAGAAGCACACACATCCCTGGGACCATGGAGTATTAATTCAGAGTAAGGGACCTATTTGCTATAAAACAACAACAACAACACTTGAAATGGAGCAGAGACAGGAACAGCAGTCCATCAGAATTTGTGCGCATGGGGAAGACGCTGAAGTCAATGCCTAACCCTGTGGACCGGGGAAATGGCAGACCTTGGGCTTTCAAACAATCTTTTGGAAAGAGGGCTTGTTCCATAAGAGTGTCTCAGTTTGAGATCTTGCCCTTTTTGATCTAACTGCATCTCCCACACACCCAGCCATGCATTCAGGGACACAAATCGCTCCCCCTTCCCTAAGAGAAATGGAAACAATGGTTCTCTTTGAGGCTGTGGCATGGTCCCTTACCTGCTGGAATTCCTAGCTGCCTAGCCAGGTGTGCAGCTTTGGGGGGATGGGGAAGAGACGGCTTTCCCTCCAGACTGTGCAGGAAAGAGGACCCCCAATATTCCCAAGGTATGAGCACCGTTCCCCTCTCCGGGCTGAGTTGCTAAGTGGCTTCAGGGTGCCTCCATTGCCGCTTCACTGCCGTCCCACAGACTCCAGGTGGCAAGAACTGTACGCTGTGTGTGCCCCGCCTTGCCTCGCTGGGGGCTGCTGATATTACATAACAGGAGCCGCCCCTGTGTAAGGGGCAGGGAAACCACACTGGCGGCAGTGGCGGAGTTGGCCAAAGGGTTCTTTTCCCTCCCACAAGCCTTTTACTGCAACCTGCCTTTCCAAGAAAGGCCACAGAATACTTCACTATCTAAACGTACAGCACTCAAAGGAAGAAAATACATAGCATACCACAAAACATACAGATTCCCAAGAAGGAAGAAAGCCAGAGTGCACAAAAGCCGGTCTGATGCTATCACACACATACACACACTCTAGAAAATAGGGCAGAAGAAAAAGAGTGAAAAAAGCCAAAGAACGCACACAAGACTGCACTTTGCTACAACACGGGCACTCTACAACACAACTTATTGGCCTTAAAAGGACATGTGACATAACCACAACACACACACACTGTACTTGTTGCATAGGCTCACAAGAAAGCCACAAAGCAACACACTAAACGAAAAGACATTTCCCATGCAAGGCCCATTGCCAAAGAAACATGGGTACACTCAGGGAGACTCAGAAGTTGCAGATAGACAACAAACCCAGACTGTACTGACATGTGTCCTCATGGTATTCCTCAAGGCTTCTGGGGAGGATCATTTTGTGACAATGCCAAGAATTCCTGTAAGGGACTTTCAATCCTCCAGGACTACAGTTCCCAGGATTTTTTGGTGAAAGCTAAGAGAATTACTTTTGCAGAGTTAGCCACCATTCGTTCTCTTACTCACCTTTTTGCTTTCACACTCACTCAGTCCCATACTCTCACAAGCATCCCTCTCAAGTGTTGCAAATGCAGGCAGCACCAGAGAATTTTCGGCTGTGTTTTTGCCATTGCACCCTCTCAGCCTCTCAGACTAGGGTATTTCCAGACGCAAGGCTCCTCACACTACCACTGAGAAAGCGTGCAACTATTCTATCTTGCTTAACAGATTTTCTGAGGTAAGATGCACTCCTCCTTGGAGAAGGCATGGATTACTGCTAGCACATCATCTTTACATAGTGCAGAATATTGGAGTATCCTAGCCTAGCCTATATGGGGAAGGAAGCTGCAGAACAGTACTAACTTAACGGACACACAGGTTGCAGCTATGTTGGCAGGTGTGTGTGTTAGGCTGCTGTGCATATGAAATGACTGTCATAGCTGCTTCCTGCTCCCATTTGTCATGTTTGAAATGTGCTTTAGGCATGCGCTTCCTCATCTGATAGTCTTATGCACATAATGGTGTGCTTTGGGTGTGTTTGATCTGGTATGTATATTGATGTGAGAAGGATGTCCCACTCTGGGATCCAGCTGTGGACTTCTCACTATTTTATTTTATTTTATTTTTTTCAATTTATATCCTGCCTTATTCCTACAAAGGGCTCAAGGCAGCTTACATCATTCTCCTCCTCCATCTTATCCCCACAACAACCCTGTGAGGTAGGTTGGGCTGAGAGTCTGTGACTGGCCCAAAGTCACCCAGCTGGCTCCATGGCTGAGCAGGGACTCGAACCCGGATCGTCTGAGTCCCAGTCCCACACTCTTAACCACTACACCACACTGGCTCACACTATGCAGTTCCAAAAGTTGTTTCTCAAGTTTTTTGGACTGGTGGATACATCTGGAATTTTGAGGTAGTGTTATGGGTCTCATTGCAAAATGGTTGCCATGTGGGGAATGCCCATTCACAACATGGCTGCTTTGGTGGGTGCAGCCAGTCAGAAGAAATCAATGTCACAGAAGGACAAACTGCTCAGGCTAAAGGCATGTTTCAGCTCATGATCTGCTCCTCTGAACAGAGAACTCTCCCCCATCTAAACACTATCTCGTCCCACAGTCCCAGCATACAAGATCCATTCATCCAAATCAGTAATTTCACTATCATCCCTGGCCTTCCACTACATGGGGGTCACCTCCAGTCCAACTCCCATTGCCCAGAGCTTCCTCCTTATCAGACAGTAGCAATAGTGGCTCTCCCTTCCTTGCTTGCATTTCCCCCCATTTGACTGGGTTCACTTCAAAGCAAAGTGCTGGCCTCCATCTACCTAGCATCCTCATACTGTCTTTGGGGAACACAGGTGACAGGTGGCTAGAGGTCAGTCTCTCACTCCAGTGTTCTTTAAATAAATAATAGGTATCAGCAAGGAACTTCATCAAGCACAAGATGAGGTATCTGTAGGTATTACACTGTCTGCTTTCATCTTACGGTTTCTTATACTGATGCTTGTCCCCAATATATTAACCTTTTGAGCATGTATACTCAGATGTTCTGCCTACCTGTGCTTCTGCTCAAAATAAGATACCTTCAAGGGCATATAGTGGCTGCCTGTGCCTTTAAGAGGGGTGCCTGCAAACATCCCAAGTGTTTACTGGGGTGATAAAGAGGCCTTTGTTTCCCTGTATGAGTGGGATGGCCCCCTGGAGAAGGGGTGGGGGCTTCGGTAGTTAGGGAAGGCTTGGACAACCAAACTCTTCACTTGCACTAGTTCGTGCCACTTTATTACCTGTGTGGTGTTTGGGGTGGGGAAGAGATTTCCACCTGGCATTGTTTCTGTTTCTATTAATTTCTGGCACAGCAAAATGACCTAAGCCCAGGGTAACTATGAAGGTATACTAAGGTATACTAAGAGTGATAAGAATTGGAGGTATACTGGAAGACATTCACTTACCCTACTTCCCAACAATAGTATTCTGATATATTGCAACAGTAACTCACAGCACAACAGAGAAATTCAGCAGCATCACCTCAGTATGTTGAGAAGGATGATTTAACTTAGAATATTTAAAAATCCAAATGTACAGTCACCAATCTCCTAACTAAAGTACTTTGGTAAAATTAGCTTCCTTACTGGAGAAGAGGCCAACCTTTAAAAAGCAACAACATACAGTTAAGGGAAGGGGAAGAAAAACAATTACAGACCTGTAAGAAGAGTAAATGCTGTAAAGTAAATGCTAGAGTAAACGCTAGAGCAAATGCTGTAAAGTGTTCTCAAAGCTTCAGTTCTTAAATGTAGAAGATCAAGCCTTGCTGAAGGAGAATCAGCATTGCTTCTGCAAAGGGAGTCCTGATTAACCACATATTTATAATACTTTGAGTATCAATAAACATATAGATCAGGCAAACATTATAAACTTAAGATTTTCACAGAAAATCTCACCAAAGGTTCTCATAAGAAATTATTCTAATATACTTCATAGGTAAAACAGGAAGCACAGGATAGAAATATGCAGTATTTCCAATGGAGGAAACTAAACAATGGTCTCTCACAAAGATCTGGTTTTGGCCCAGTGTTCTTTAATTTACTCATTGTAAGTAAATGATAAGCAGTGAGTCACCCAGGTTTGTGAATAACATCAATAATCTAGAATGGTCAAAATTTCAGGTAGATTAATATCCCCAAAGTGGAGAAAATGATGGCAGATGGCATTCAAAGTTAGTGATACATACTGGGACAAAAAAGTAAATTTGAACTTCATGTATGTTACTTGGCACAGGCTAAATTAGTGTGAGGGATTTATCAGGAAAGGGACTACAAGTGAAAATGTTATCACATCTGAAGTACATTCTATTCAGAAATGTTGCAAATAATGGAAGTATCACACTGGAGGAATGCTACACATGAGTAACACGCAGGAAAAACAGAGCAACAATCCATTCCTTTAATGCATACAGACTAATACAATGCATACTTATTTGGAAGTATGAGAAAAGGATTTACTCTCAAGAAGCAAGGAATTGTGAGCTCAAGTGGTAAGTCTGCATTGCTACACCTTAATAATCGTCCCACAAATGCCTATGAAAAGTGCATATATGCCAGTCCAGATGCGATCAAAAACACAGTCCAAACCTTAATTCGCAGGTCCCCATGGACCAAACACATGGTATTTTATACAATATTACCCCATGTTTATGCATGTCTCCAAAATGCTGTAATCTTGGGTGACAGCCAGCCACAACACCCATTTTAGAGGCTGCCTCTGTTACCAGGCTGCAGACTTCTGATGGCCACTCCAGCTTTTCAAAGCTGTCTGCAGTTTGACATGTGCATAGACTAGAAGCGGGGGGAGGGGTGGAAACAAGGCCTGGGATGTATTTATCCTTCTTTTGGTCCTTTTCCCACCCTGCTCTGCCAACGACAGTCACATCTCTCAACACTGCCCACCACAGGAAGGCAGTTACTGTGGTTTTTGTGGCACCTCCTGTCTCTTTCTGCCATATGGACAACTTAAAACCCTCAGGGGTTGGACCTATTTCTGGATATTCCCTGCAGGCCACTCTGCGTAAAACAAAGGAATTCTGACATATGCAGAGCAGAGAGGGCTTGAGGGGTGTCTACACTGTTAAGGGGAGCCATGGGCATCACAACATCATGTAGAATAACTGTTGGTAAGGGAATTCCAGAAGTGAGAACATTCTGGCAGTACTGCTAAGGTCTCAGAGGAGTTCACCTCTGAGAGGGTATCCTATGGCCTTCCAATACATGGCACAAAAATAAAACTGACACCATTTTTCCGGAAGATTCCATGGCAGCCGTGCCTTAAGAAGGAACATGAGGGATTCAGCTGTCTGGGGAATCTCCTGGCACAATGCTGGTCCCATGTGTGACACAATGGGCTTGGTTATTCAGCTGTGAGGGAGTTGTACTTTGTGCCACCTCTGAAGTGTGGCTGTTGGTTCAGTCATTCAGTGATCAGTCAGCAAACCAGCCAAACCCCATCCAGCAACACAAGGAACTGCAGCCTTAAGAGGACACAAGAAGCCAGAGCAGCACCTGGAAGGGCCCCAGTCTAACTGCCCCCACCACCATGGAGGCCACTCCCCATAGTCTGTGGGATATTATGAAACCAGCAGAGGAGGAGAGGAGGCAGCTGGCTGGGTCAGGAAGAAGCCTGTTGTTGAGTTATCAGCTCCTCACAATGCATCCGCCTTCCTAACTTCCTGTGCAACTGGCTGACAGGCTTCTGTGGCAGTTATTCCTGAGCCAGACGCTTCCCCTGCCACCAACAGTCGGGGTCCTCCAGAGACCCATCTAAATAGCCCCGCCATGTTATATCCAGGAGAGGACACTGTACCCTTCAGTGTCAGGCACCTTACAGCCACAAAAGGAAAATCCTGAAGGCTTAAGAACTTGAGAGTAAGTTCATGGAAAATAACTGAGATTTCCCTCCCATATGCTGGGATAGGAGTGAGCTGTATGACTTCTAAGTCCTTTCTTGCGTTGCCAGTGCTGGGCCCTCAGCATTTTAGAACTGCATGGAACTATGTCAGGGTGTGCCATCACTACACTCAGTGTGATGGGAAAAGTCACAGTAAACTTTTCTATTCAACTGAGAGTGAGTGTGGTGTAATGGTTGAGAGTGTGGGCCTGGGCCTCAGGTGATCTGGGTTCCAGTCCCTGCTCAGCCATGGAACCATCTAGTCGACTTTGAGCCTATCACAGACTCTCAGCCCAACCTACCTCACAGGGCTGTTGTTGTGAGGATAAGAATGAAAGCAGGAGGTGGAGAATGATTAAGCTGCTTTCAGTTCTTTAAAAGAAGAAAAAGGGTAGGATATGAAAACAAACTCAAAAGGCTACACAAAGCAAGTTAGGGTCTGGAGGGGCTAATCCTCCTTTATGTTTAATAATTGCTGGACACCATTGTCTCTTCCTATCTTTCTCCTGCATCGCATGGTGCAGAGCCCTTGAGGACTGCCAGTCGGGGATCTCCCTGAGGAGATTCCAAGATTACACCCACCCCTCACATGCTTGAAGACTTCCCCTCTAGAGTTGTTAGGGTTTAAAAAAAGCAGACAAACCAGCTCCTGCTTCTGTGCTTTTAACAGCAGATTGCTCTGCTAAACATTGGCCAGTGATAATGCTCATCTGTGTGTCAGGAAAAAGTCACGTGCTGTTTTTTTCAAGCTGCTGTTCAAAGCACAAAACTAGGGTGGCCAGTTGGAGATACTGCGAGGGTTTCTGCACCTTTTAAAGTTGTGAGGGAGAGGGAATTTCAGTAGATGAAGCATGACAAGCAACTTCAGCTGAAATTCCCTCTTTGGCATAGAAGCTGCAGGAACCCTCTCCTCGTTTCCATTGGGCCACCCTATCTCCTCTCCAGGAGCGAAATGTCATGCTGCTCACACACATGTATTCTTCCACATGGAGCATGGAAACCTGGGTGAGTAGACAGCCTTAAAGCAAAAATGCACCAGAGGTCAAAGAGGGGAGGATCCCCTCATCCCACATGCTGGGCTTGTGCTGCAGAGAAGACAAAAGCTCCCTAAAGAGTACCAGGTGCTGTTTGGAACACATGGATTGTTCTAGCAGCCAAGGGACATGGGAGCCATCTCTACAGTCATGCATCAATAGCTACAGTCATGTCCACTTTCTTGTAGCGAATGAGAAAGTAGGGATAGCATTGGCAGCTCTTGAAGATGACAAAAATGTCAGGATCGGTAGTGAAATCTGTGCACGAATCGTAAGAAACAGGAGGCCGCTTAAGCCCTGAATGGCCATTTGTCCAGTATCCTGTCAACACTTTGGTCAGAAACATGTGACACATTTCACCCTCGGTCATGGAGGCATAGCTGTGTGAGTAGGATGCATCCTTAGCAAAGTAAATTCCTTTGCCATAAACTGTACCATGCAACCCTGAGAAGCGGACATGAAAATTCTCTGTGCAGATACGCTTAATGCGGGCTGCTTCTGTGCCATGGAAAAGGTGCTTCTCCAAGGACATCTGGTCTTCCTCCGAGCGTTCCTGAGACATGCGCTCTTTTTGCCTAGTGGGAAATAGAAAAAAGAGACATGCAGGTGGTTTATTTTCACAGGTAAGGTAGATTACAAGCATTCCCTTTTCAATTTGCCATCCAAGAATTGAGGAGGTGCGTTTCAAGCCAGCCCAACAATTGTGCTAACTGGTGGGGGAGAAGTGCTTTCCTCTCCAGGTATCCCTGGGAAGAAACCAGGAAAAAAAGACCTCCCGCACTGGCCAATGGTGGAGTGCTGTTGACAAGTTCTGCCAGGTGCTAGAAAGACAATCTGCTTGTTGGCCTTGGGAGGGCAGCACCAAGTGACTTCTGCCCACTCCCACACACACCTGGAAGCTAGTGGTGACTCAGCTGGGCCACCGGAAGGGACAAGCTTCCTGGTACTGGTCTTGAAAGTCAGTGCCAGGCAGCTCATGCCACCCCCTCACCTGGCAGAGGCCTGGTTGGCTGAGTAGTGGCAGATAAGCCACCCCGAACAGCCCCTGGAAGCAGGGGCAACATCCTAAGGCATCCTCTTCAGTGGTTTAGCATGTTTTGTGAAGATGTCATACATACAACAGTTATCACCTCATGTATGCATGCCAGAGATGGTCATTCCGTATGCGGTAGATGGCCAGGATCAATGCTTGTTTCTCAGACAATGTGGAATGGAAGAGCTCTCTCACTTTCAGGCTGGCTATCTCTGACCAAGCCATTTCTTCCATTGTAAAGCCAACGTCACCTTGTGGTGGTGGGATCCAAACAGCAGGATAAGGCCCACAGTACAAATCTAGAGGGTTCTCTCCTCGGACAGCTTTAGCTTCACAGGATAAAGCAACTGACCTGGAACTGTAAAGAAGCAGGAACAGTTGAGCTTCCTGACAGAAGGTCTGCCCACATGCAGCCACCTGTATTTTAACCAATGGGGAACAGTAGCTGCTTGGGCACCACAGCACAGGGATTGCAGCACAGGGATAACACTCTTCTCACAACCCAAGGGCTTCCAGTGTTGAGGTAGCCAGGAGCAGGGCAAATTCAGGTGGTGGACAGGGCAAAAGAGAAGGACATGCCAAAATACGGACACATTGCAGCTGAAAGCTATTACTATTAACTGGTCAGTCCTAGAGGAGATCAACCCTGACTGCACTTTAGAAGGCCAGATACTGAAGATGAAACTCAAATACTTTGGCCACCTTATGAGAAGGAAGGACTCCCTGGAGAAGAGCCTAATGCTGGGAACAATAGATGGCAAAGGAAGAAGGGGACAGCAGAGCATAAGGTGGTTAGATGGAGTCACTGAAGCAGTGGGTATGAGCTTAAGTGGACTCTGGGGGATGGTAGAGGACAGGAAGGCCTGGAAGAATATTGCCCATGGGGTTGCGATGGGTTGGACACGACTTCGTGACTAACAACAACAACAACAACATTACTATTAAATTAAAGCTTAGAATAACCATTTCAATCTTTAGGGAAAGAGCACCGCAAGGACCAGAAAACCACCATTGATGGTACGAGAAATGGAGCAGGGCCGTCTAGGGAACTGGATCAGGGGTCCCCATTGGCTTAAAGTTCAATATCTCTACCATAACAGTTGTGTATAATTAGTGTATAGATACACCTCACACCCATGCACAGAGTGCCATGAGTAACTTGCACTAAGTATTAAACAAACCATAAGTGTTTGATTTCAACCTTCCTCTTTACTGAGAGTTCTGACCATCTCTTTTCTATGTCTCTTCCCAATTTCCATTTCATTTGGCTTTCTCCCTCTTAACTAACTTTCTGCTCGAACCTTCCTTTCTTGTTCCATCAACCAGCTATCACCTTGATACTCCAGTCTCCTGCCTCCAGTCTATGTCTTCCTTGCCCCACCTCTTCATAAGATCTATGGAACTCAGCCATTAGCAGTCATGTACCCTCTGCCTGTCTCATTTCACCTCTCCCATTGGAATGTGGCAGGGCCCCTTGTGGGCTTCCAGAAGGTTTTACTTACAATGCCTATTTTTTCCAATAAATATATTGTATGTATGAGCATCACCTCTTACCTTTCTACCCACTCCGAAATACACAGGGCTCTGTAATTCATAGCTGCTGAATCAAACATGCTCACACCTTGGAGGAGATGACAACTTTACCATGGGGAAGTGCAGCGGGGCTCCTGCCAAAATGCCTAGCTAGGTGCTCTCTCTCTATCCGATAATAAGCCCTGCACAGGCGCAGAGCCCATGTGTGTGATGCACAGACACCACAAAGAAGATCTGGTGCCAGACTCACCACAAATATCGCACGATAGATGTGCTGTAGCGCAAGACGGGTCGGTACTTGATCCTGCGGGTGAAGCCTGTCTTCACATTGCGCTGTGTCAGTCTTTTGATATTAACCTTGTAGTGACGATTGTGCAGAGAGAAGGTGTGCCTCTGCCTTTTCTGCTTAAAAGCAGCCACAAGGTCCTGTGCAATGGGCTGTGGAGAAAAACATCTAAAGTTCTTTCATCCTGAGATAACAAATATCTCCTCAACCCCTTTTTCCTCAAAATGCTTCCAGAGGAGGCATTTATCATACCATCAGCTTGCTTTGTTCATGGAGGTTTACCATCATCTTCCACTCATGAGTCTCTGGTGTTTTCTTACTGCTTCTTGCATCTATTTCCTTAATGCAGAAACCCCATTGAAGAGGGAAAGCATCACAGTGCTTTCTGATTGTGAGCAATACATGCCTTCCAGCCAGGTTCATACTCGTAAAACATGGCAAGTCACAGTACAGGTTGAATGTGCATTGTGACTGAACCATGGGTTTTTGTGTTGTGTGAACACAGCTGCACTAACAAACAATGATTTCTACATAGAAACAACCCATGAAGAGAACCTATGATTTGTTGTTAGGTTGTAAACTGTGAGTTGTTTGTAGAGCACTGTCAGGGTCTGTGGCCAGGACATGGGCAACCAGAGACAACACAAGACAAGAGCAACAGAAGTGCCACGACCAGGACAACAGAACTTCAGGAAAGTTAGAGTCCAAAAGCAGGTTTTAAGGGAAAGTCCAACTCGTAGTCATGGTACAGTCTGAGGTCAGGAACCAAAGGAATGCACGAAGGCAGATCAGATATATGGTCAGGATCTAGGCAAGGATTGAGAACCAGGAGAACCAATAGAGGTGCAGGTACCTTGGACAGGATAACAGGGTGGGAGACATGGCAAGACAAGGTAACAGGAATCAGATGCAGCAAGGGTCAGGCATGATGTAGGAGCTGAACTACAGCTCCCAGGAAGCCCTGTGTTACTGGGGCAACACAGCAAGGCATGATATAGGTCAGGCAAGGTGCAGGCACAACAGCAAACAGGCAAACCTGTGTTGCTGAGGCAACATAGCAAGGCAGGAGACAGCAGGAACCAGGAGCAGGAAAGGTCAGGGAGGATGCAGGCACAGCAGCAAACAGGAGGATCTGAGTTCCTAAGGCCACTTGTGGAAGGGAGTGCTTGCTCTTATATAGCTCTTCTTCCAGGACTCCCAGCTGGTGCTCGTTGGTAGATGGAGAGCTCCAGCAGGGCCCAGGACCAATCCTACAAATATGGTTGTGGTTGCTCTTGTTCTAACCACCAGAACAGCCCAGATCCTGACAACAACAAACCATGATCTGTTTGCACAGGTAGGTTCACACAACAACACATAGTTCTGTGACAATCCACACTCAATCCATACTCAACCCATTTTGTGGCTTGCTGTGTTGTGTGAACCAGATCATTGAATCAGTTCTTTATTCTCAGGGTTCTCTTGCATTATCTTAACCCAACACTTGAAGAAATTACCTCTTACCAGAGTTCCACCAATTTTGCCCCTCCCACTGGTCCTCATAAGCCACATGACTCTTGCTTAACTGCACTGAAATGGCACAATTAAGGGTGTTTCCAGTTGCAAACAGACCACTACCAATTAAGAGAGAGATTGTGTTGCTATTTTCCTTCCTTGCAGCTGAATAGACTTGCTGTGGTAAAAGAGTCAGGTGAAGAGGCAGAGAGGTATAGGAGGCTTACACCATCAGCCCCCTCCCCTCCCCCTCCCATTCTATGAATGGGACAGAAAAAGATCAAAGGATCAGAAAAAGATCTCTGGAACGACCTGATATCTGTGTTATTGTGCAGATTAGTTTAAAGAAGAACCTGAAGTCTGTACCCATGGCTTGTTATTGGGTTAAAACTCTGGGCAGTTTCTCCTGCAATAAGCTGAAGTGCCACAGGTTCAGATGCCTTGACGAATCACCCAAAGTTGATCACAAACCCGATGCAAAATGCATGGGATGAGTGGGTAGGGTGCATTGTGCTCACAGCTTCCCATGTGGCCTCAACTATGAATCATTTTACCCACAATCCATTGCTAGTTTGTGAACTGCGTCCATTCCACTTCTATGAGTGATTCTCTCAGCCATTATCTAGAGACTCTGAAGTAGCTGGTGCAGCAAGAGGCTCCGTCCAGATATTTATTTGTTATATATTTGTATCCTGCCTTTTTTTCTTTCAAAGAACTAAAGGTGGCTTACATAGTTCTCCTTCTCCCAATATTGTCCTCACAGCAACAACCCTGTAAGCTTGTCTCCAAGTCACCCAATGAGCTCCATGGATGAGCAGGAACGAGAACCCAGATTACCTGTACTCTTAACCACTACACCACACTGGCTCCCAGTGGGAAGTGAGATAGGAAATCTGAGCAACAAGAGCAGCAGGGTAGCATCCAGCTAACCAAAGGAAGATCCTTCCAGGATCAAGGGAGACAAATATGGGTGGTTCAGAATAGGTGGCCTGAGTAAACAAAGCAATGCAGAGCTGGGCACCAGGCTTACTCTCCTCAGTCAGGCTACAGAAAGATGATGGAGCGATCCTGGCAGGGAGGCCTTGAGTAGAAAGCAGGGTGGTGAGTCCCTTTTAGCCCTAAAATCAGTTCCAACAGAGATTTTGAGGGCTTCTTTCTAATAGTGGGTAATGTGAAAGACAAAAAGGTTAGGGCTCAAGATATTAGCATAGTTAATGGCAGTAAGAGCTTTCAACTAAAGCCTTACAAAACCAGCTGCTAATTGGAAGTGGTAAGTGGGCAGGAGGCACTGTGCTCACTCTTTCCCTTGTGCCCCCAACTGAGGTTAGGGGAGACATCACAAAATGATAGCTGGGGAAAAGGTGTGGTCCATTTAGGGAACTCTGGTGAACAGGATTGGGACCCCAAGAAAGACAGATTTGGCCTATAGGCCTGAGGTTCCCCAGTCCTGTTTTAAAGCAGAAAACATGCTCCTGAAATCCACCCAGGGAGCCTTATGGCTAATGAGGTGGGTAAAAAAAAATCAAACAAACAAGTCCGCAGGGACACATGACATCGCTTCTTGCTTTAAAGGTGCAAGAGGCTTGTTTTACTTTGTGGTGGTGCTATGGCAATTTCATTAGTTTAAGGGTACATTTCCAGGTGGATGGAATGGACCCCTAGAAATTACTGAACCACAACTGATAACTTTCACAGGTCATCAGATTACCTGCCAGAGCTTAATCTGACTGCCTACAGACCCAAACTCCTCTCACTCTGTCTATGGATTCTGGTCAGCAGACACCAGAACTCTGCCGTCAAGTCAGTGGGGTTTCTTGCTCCCTGCAGCTGGCTTTTGGTAACTTTTTGCTTGTTGAAGAGATCTGAAGGTCTCAAAAGCTTACACAGTTTTGGTGAACTTTGGGTTGACTTAATAATGGTATTACATTAATATGGGCATAGGAATTTATAGCTTTTGATCACCTTACCTCTTTGTATTCTTTCCAGTAACCTAGATCATACCAGTAAACTTTCCACTCTGCTGGAAAGTAACAATTGCATGTATGGTCACTGCTGTTGGATAGACGTCTTACTTGGTCATAAAATGGATTATCAGAGAGCATCATAGTATCCAAGTTTAGGAAATAGCAGCTGCCACTCCTGCAAAGCAAAGAGAAGGGAAGGACCTAAGTTTGTTAACTGATTGCAGGAGTGCAGAGAAAAGGTTAGCCTTCCTTATGTCTTTAATCTGAATGGTAAAAGACAGTAGGCGAAATTTTCCACAGCCTGGTGCCTACTCTTTTTTCCTATAGGTGCCAGGTGAAAATCTTTTTATTCACCATGCATCTTAATAACTGAAAGGTTTTTACTGCTGTGCTTCTCCCACAACTTAATTGTGGCCACTGTAGTTAGTCTACTGCTGTTCTGTTGGTTCTATGGATTGGTTTTAATGGTTTATTGCTGTTGTTGCTGGTAGTGCTTTGTTGTTATTGTTTTCTTTTAATTCTGTTAACTGTCCAGATACCCTTTTGGCTAGTGGGCAATATACAAGCATAATTTTAAAACGTATATAAGTATTATCGCCTACTAATATCTACAGATTCTGTTTAAGTATTCATTTACTTTGCTCTTCAAATCATTATTTTTCAGCACAGTTTACACCAAGCATGCTTCTGCACATACAGTTCCTAGCACTATGAGTCAAAGGGCTTTGTGGCTATTCCATCTTTCCTTCCATATTGCATATCTTTGCTGTAAGAAAGAAACTGGTACTGTGATACAGGAGAGTCCTGTGCAGAAATCAACAAAGGTGAGCCACATTCCCTATTTGAAGGAGGGTGATGGTGCAATAAAAGCCTTAAATCAGATTCATAAAACAATGCAAATACACAGCTCAGGATTCCATTCATCATTACACTCCCCCTGGATTTCATTCCTGCCCTTCCAGCATTCTGACAACAGAGTGTATTCAGTTCTCAAAGAACTATTTTGAGAGTCTTGTCCCACCCCCTGAGGGGATTCTTTCTAAATTTTCTTATACAGTACTTGGGTTGACCCAAGCCTGCTTACTTCTCACTTTTGGATGTGGATGGTGCCATTTTAGCTACACAAGGACGAGCAATTTGACCCTGAAGAAAGGGGTAAGTACTGTATAAGCATTAGAAGCAATTCCTGCCTTTTCTCCTCTTGTGAGGAATCCAAGGCATTTATAACCACAATAATTCAGTGAGGCAGGTTGGGCTGAGAGTCTGTGTATGGCCCAAAGTTACCCAGTGAGCTTTATGGCTCAGCTGGGACTAGAGCCCCAATCTCTCAAGTCCCCAGCCCAACACTCTAACCTCCTCATCACACTGGCTCTCTAACAGATGGTATAACAACATATTAAAAAAATCAACAGCAGCAGTTAAAATCATGGGTTTAACAGTTGTTTAAATGAAAATCAAAATGTTTCTTTATTATGCCTAAAATATAGCAGTTTGGGTGCTAGGTGAGCCCCCTTGGAAGGAGACTGATAATGACAGGGAGTGGGAGCCACTTGCACCTCCACTCATTCTGGCCTTTGGTTGCGATGACTCAGCAGGCTCACCCAGAGAACAGCCTCCAATAATGCTGGTGTAAGGGCAGGGTGATAGGGAGGTAACACATCCTTTGGCTACTTTGGGCCTAAGCTGCAGAAAGCTTTTAATACCTTTCAGAGGAGTAGTGGCATTAATTTATTGCAGTAAATAACAGCAAAGCGTCTTGTGGGATCTTGCCAACACATTTATTATAGCACAAGCTGTCATGGACAGCTACACGGCCTGGGATCACAGAATACCTCCCCCAACCACAATCTACATGGGCACTATGATCAAGATCAAGGACTGCCTCCAGTTGCCAAATCCAAGGGAGGTTTGGTTAGTGACAAGAAGGAGAAGAGCCTTTTCAGTGGTGGTTCCCTAGTTATGGAACAAATTCTCCCCTGAGGCCTACCTGGCACCAGCTTTTTCACTGCCAAGTTAAGACTGTATCACAGGGCATTTCATTAATTTACTCCTGTATTGGGGTTTTGTAAGCTGCTTAAACAAGTCTTATAATTTTACTTGTATAAGTTGTTGTAACTTGTGCTGTGTATTGTAAATTTGGTTATAAATTTTATATCCTAATCTTCTTACGATGTTTTAATACTGTTTGTATTTGATATTGTATTTTTATATGTGCTGTGAACTGCCCAAAGATCTTTGGTTATAGGGCAGTGTACAGATTATAAATAAATGAACATTAGCCTAATTCATCAGATGCATGAAATCCTACTAAGTTTCAGGTATATACATATAGTACATGCAGTAGCTAAGGAAACTAAACAGTGAGAAATATTTACATACAAGATTAGACAATGGCAATCTTTATTAACAGCAGCCATTCACAAATGAGTTGCTGCTGCTAACACAAACTTCCTGGAACTAGGATAGCCAATTAACACATGCAGTGTGAATTTTTAGAAAAACATACAAAAAGCCCTTTATCCTAATTCAGGCCTCAGAAGAGAATTGAACCTCTTGATTACTTTGACATAGTAATTTTCTTTGTTCCCCAACTGCCAGCATGTTCTAGGAGGTTCTCCCCTTTTTTTTTTTTTTTTTTTTATGCTGTTAACTGTAATGCAGATTTGTGTCCTGAGGGATTGGCCAGTTTGCCCTTATGTGGAATTGTGCCTGGAAATGGCACAAGACTGAAAGCAGTAAGCAAAGTGTCTTTCCTGGAATTGCTGAAAGTGTTTGAAGTACTATTTGCCTTGAACCTGTTTTGAAAATTTTGAAAGTACTTGTCAATTTCTAAAAAGAGGTGTCAGGACTCAAACCTATTCTGTAAACTACACCTTGTCACCTGAAGTCTGGCCCCATAACCCCAGATGTGAAGAAGGCCTCATGATCACTCAGCATCAGGGAAAGAAATATGCCCTTCTGTTTATTGCTTTACATTTTCTTGGGACTGAAAATAACATTCCAGAGCTGAGCATAGTTCTAGAACCCTTTCCCAGAAAGCTGGAAGGAGCAAGAAATGTAGTTCTCACCTGTCTTTTAGCTTCACTTTGGTGCATTTCTTGTTACAGTACAGTCTCTCCAAGTGCTGTTGAGCTAGAATACTGAAACTGAGCCACACGAGGTCCTTCCGGCGGCGCCACTGCCAGTGGTAGGGAAGGGGAGTGTGGTGGTGAGGACAACGTTCCTGCATGGTACAATATCCTAGCAGAAACCTGTCACAGATCAGCACTCCATTCTCTTGGTGTACATGATACAGCGGTAAGTTGTCTGCATCAGTTGGACGCAGTACTGTTATTCCCAACAAACAATCTTCCACAGTGTTGTGGCCTAACTCTGTGTCAGAGCATTTGGCCTTTTCTGCCATGAAGCTGTAATCCAAAAAATCCAGAGTCTGAAGGGTGAACAGCTAAAGAGTTCAAACCAGGCTTCACACTAGAGCGGCCTATCTTATTTCAGAGAAATCCCATTCAATTTTTTTGAAGCCAGAACTGTTCAAAGTGTGTCAAAATCAGCTTCCTCTTTCAAGTGCTTCTATGTAGAAGGCGTGTTTCTACATATTTGGGAAGCTAGTTTTATTTTCAGTTTTAACACTGTTTGCACAAGGAGGTACTGTCATCCTATTAAAACCCTACTATGCATCTAAACAGTTTTAATTCCTGTCTTTGAATTGGTTCTGTAGCTTCAGTAACTTGACACACAGAAATTTAGCAGGTTCAGCTGAAGAACTTTGTAGGGATCACAGCTTAAATCCAAGGTTGCACAAGTGGACTTCCCTGTGCTGTACCTTCAGTTTCTTCTGAACCTTCCAAATCTGCTCCAGAGAGACTCCCAACTCTCCTGAGCAGATTGGGAGCTGATGGGAAAACCATTTCCCCAGCAGTTTCCATTCCAATGGTGAATGGCAAGGACTGAATACATACTATTCTTTTATTATTATTTTTTCTTTTGAAAAGCAAAAATGAAAGAGGTCTCCTCATTCATTTCTCTACAGACAGTGAAGGGTGTGAATTCTGTGCAGGATCCTAAGGTAGCTGGTAGCTCTCCATGCCATTGTGCCCCCTCCCTCTTAACTTAGCAAGGTGTCTACAACAATATTCTGCTGTGAAAAGGATCATCCCATTTTTTTCAGTTCTTGGACTGTGCATGCTCCAAGATGGAAGGCTCCCAGCACTATCCTTTAGAAGACATTGTAGAACCATTCTATTTCCCTCTTTAACTGATTTTCTGTGGGAAAAATAAAGACAAAAGATGTTTCAGGAAAACCAGGGGTGGGGTGGGGTAGGAAGAAAGGGTGATTATTTTTTTTTGACACCCTGGGGATTTCCACAAATGAGAAATTTGGAAGCACCTTGGGAGACTTCATTTGTACATAATGCACATTCCTGACAAGCAACAGGTTTGCCAGAAGGAATGGGTACTTGCTCTGTGTAGTTTCCTTCTTATTAGTTACTCATTTGTGGAGAAAGAAGGTATATTCCTGCCCTTTTAGAGAAAAAATAGCAATCAAAAACACTAATCCAAGCAACTGAATAACTCAAAACTTCACAAAAACAGGAAACATCATTTCAGTAATTTAGGAGTTATGATTTGTGGCCCACTAGGGATTAGGGTTAGTTCTGTCATGGTACAAGTATATCCTGTGAGAAGCCTACTGTTAGAAAGAAACAGAATAGCAATCACATGTAATTTCCAGCAATGACAGTAGGAATGGCGGGCACACAGTTTGTTGCTGCTGCTTTGTTTTACTGGCCCTAATCATATCCATTTTATTAAGGGGTTGACAACCTTAGCTCCCAACCTTGTTTCAAGAGGCTCTGAACATAATTACAAGAGCCATCTGCAAGTGATCAGTTCATGCAATAATGATCTGTTCTTTCCTGTGCTGGCCAGGGGAGGGACAGAGGAGTTGGCAAAAAGTGAGTGATCTTACCATGTTTGGTTCTGGCTTGGCATGAAGCCCCCTGACAGATTATCATGGAAGGAACACAGCTCTCCACTTAACACACACACACGTGTCCTGTCCCTGCTTTAACTGCAGCCTGATGCACTGAATAGGAATTGGTGGAATTTGCCCAGGCCAAAGGGAAGTGGTGCAAAAATTTGGATGTGTCAGATTGCTCTTAAAAGGCAAAGGAGAAGGGGGTTCATCCATCTTCTTTCCCCTCATGCTATGGGCATAATGACTTTGATTTTACCTCACAGCAGGTGAAGGAAGTGAGCATAAAAATGTGGGTGGGGAAAAGAACTGGTTTAATCCTGATTCAGTGCCTTGAAGTATTTAACTGTCCTGACTTTTCACATCTGTTGGCATCTGTTTACCAGAGGTTACATTTGTGCCTACATTGTGAACCCATCTTGCTCCCAATGTAGCCATCAGCAAAATATTTCACTTCACCACCACTCACACTACTGTTTTCAGGGGACATTATTGTTGGCATTCTGGAGATATTTTTAAGAAATTGTTTGTTAGAGTAGGGATGGGTAACTTGTGGCCCTCCACAATTTTGGCCTTCAAATCCCACCAGTCCTCCCATTGGTCAGGCTGACTAGGACTGATCAGAGCTGTAGGCCAGAACATCTGGAGAGCCACAAGTTGCCTACCCCTGTGCTAGAATGTTAGGTTTCACAGCTGCTACCCCCTATGACAGCTCCCCACAACCATTACAGCTCTAAGCAAAGGGCATATAAACACATACTTATGAGTGTGCAACCTTCTATTTCATGTAAGAATGGTTTCGAACCATTCAGAACATACTGTAGGACAATCAGGTATAGCTTTAACTGAAATAACACGTATGTTCTTTGCTTTGAAACTAAAGCAGTAGGAGACACTATGACAAAAAACTAATGCCAGAAAACTGTTTTATGCTATTGCTAGTTTTTTTAGTCTAGAATTTTTTATTCTTTGTTCATTTGCTTTTACAGACAATTCATGGCTACCCTGTTGCATTCTAGTGTTTTCCATGTTGTCTTCCCATCTTTTCCTGATTTTGTTCCCCCCACAAAATGCAATTGTAGTACCAGGTGCACTTCATAGCTATTGTGACTTTAATTAGAAGTTTCCTCCTTTGGCAAGATAATATCTTCTACATTACTGATGAATAACCAAGGATTTGTCTGTTCATCCATTCTGGTTTCCCATTTTTATTATTGGTTTCTGCTATTTTAAAGCAAGAGGGTGTTTTTCACAATGAAAGAAAACATAATGACGAGAGGAAACAAGTAATAAGGAATCACTCTCATTGCAAGGGACAGGAATTACAAATGCAAGAGGTAATTAAGTTGCCCTTAATCAAGCAAGAGTAGTTGTGTAAACAAGAGGCTATTCCAGGTAGAAATGTTGGCTTGAGGAAGAAGATTCTAATTAAAGCTGCAGAAGGCTTCTGCTGAAATGCACTTTTTCTGAGAAGACATAACTGAAGGATCTTAGTCATAGAGAGAGTCATGGCTAGATAATGTAGGTCTATATTATTAAAAATCAGGAAGCTGAGAGTAGGAATAAATAGACAATTTTCACAATGAAGGAAATAATGTGGAGTCCCTCAAAGATTTGTATCAGGTGGTCTTGGTGCTTTTTAAATTCTTGGCAATTGTGGGGAGCAGAGAAGTGGCCAAGGTTGCAGATAAGAACAAATTATTCAGGGTGGTAAAAACAAAATCAGACTACAAAAAGTTCCAAAAGGGGAGTAAAAAAGCTAATGTATATAAATGCAATGTAACATACATCGAGATAAAATCTCCTGCTTTTACATATGTGGTGACTGATGTGAAGTAGCGGTGAGTGACCGGAAGAAAGATATTGTGGTCATGGTGGTAACATGTAAAGGAAAAGAAAATGTTAACTTGCTTTGTGGCTGCTACAAGAGAGAGCAATTCTATGCTATGCTAAGTAAAACTGCCAATATTATAAAACCTTTATACAAATCTGAGGTGAGACTCCATTTGGAATAGTTTGTACAGGAAGGGTGCATAAGTCAGGCTGAAGATCTTAATCTGGCTTCCTGATATTTTCCAGAAAGCCATGCCATCTTCCGCCAGCCTCAGTTTTCCTTTCAACATCAACCTTTTGGTGTGTTCCCAGCTTTTGCACAGTTTTTCCCAATTCCAAAGGGTAGAAATGCCTTATCTGAGGCTTAGTGACTGGCAGCAAGAGTTTTAACTTAAAATATGCTTGGGGGCTGCCCTTTGCCTTTGGTCCCACCTACTACCTGACTGCAGCCCTGGAGAACATCTCTGATATGGAATTCATAGAGTTTCTGCAGCCCTGGTGTCATTTTTGTTGCTGCATCTCAAAAAGGATAGTACAGTGCTGGGAAAGGTGCAGGAAGAAACATCTTTAGTACAGTATTTTCCATCACCCTGTTTACTTGGAATTACCCCTGGAGCTACCAGATGTTTTAATGAGGCTTGTGTCTTTCAAGCACAAGGCAGATCAACACTTTGCATGGAATGTCATATAATTCCAAAAGCATGGGTCTTTCCACTGTGTAGAAAGTATGGGAAACACCACCAGCTAATAATGACTGTATGTGGGAGGAACAAGCATATTGTCTAGAATATTTTGCAACAGAACCTACTGAACTTTTCTCCATTTTGCAATCCAGTGATACTGTTGGCAAAGCCACAAGTCCTAGCTTGCACTTGGGCCCAGTGACTTCTCCCCACTCCACATCCTCTTTCTTCAAAGATGACCAACTACACAGGTGGCTACAGTACTGTACATTTCTTATCAAAGTTTTGGTCAGATTGGCTAACCCAATTATTTCTAATAATCTAAACAAAGTTCCTCCCAAACTGTAGCATACCTGTTTTTTCTTAGACATCCCCTTGAGTTTTGTTTTTACAGTGCTGGAAATCTGAGACCCTTCACAGCAATTGCAGACATTTAGGTTGACCAGGTATGAAAGAAGACAGAGTTTCTGCACCTTTAGTGCAGAAACAGGAGAAGGAATTTCAGCAACAGAACCTTGTATGGCAATTATTAAGGATGTAGGAGCTTTGTGTTCTTTTGCACATAACCATCCTAAGCATAAGCTATTCTGATGTGAACTCTAATGCGGTGTTTTTGCTCTGCAGTTTGGAAGTAAACAATAAAAAATAAATACAAAACAATAATTTGGGCATCTTAAGGACTAATCGACTTATAAGGACATACATACTTGTAGACTAGAGCCCAAATGATAATGTAGGGAAGCACACGTCATAATAAATCAGCTGGTCTTTAATATGCCACAAGTTTGTTTTGACAGGCAAAACAGATATGCTCATCTGAAGCCCTACCTCTCTCCATTACATGGCTGACATTGTACTGCTGCCTCTTTTAAAATGGAGTGTCTGTGCTAGAAGTTTCTGGAGCTGGAACTTCTTACAAGTTAAGGGCAGCCAATAGTAAGATTGACAAGCCATTTGTCAGTTTCATTTAATTACTTTGTCTTGAAACTCAAGCAGAACTGCCAAGTATGAAGAGAAGAAAGCTTACAGTATAGAGAGCCAGGCTACTTTCAACATGAAAGTGACAAGCATTTTCCCCCTTCATCTTTGTGGGGATTCCTTTTTACTTTCAATGCAAAACTGCACTAAATGTGATGAGACTTTTGTCATTTTGTTGTGGTTTTTCTTTCCATGAGTGGAAAACACAATAGGAACAGGAGCTCTTGGAGTTGGAATTCCCCTCCTCAAATATACGTGTTGGCTGTTAAGGAGGAATTGACTTTTCCCTTCAAGGAAAAGCAACAGGAGCAATGATAAGCAAGAGGAAGGGAGGGACAAATGCTTCTGCACAACATATCATACAAATGTCAACAGGAATTTTTCCAGAGAAAGGGGTAGGAAACTTATGGCCTCATCCAATTGTACAGTTCTTTAACTGTAAGTCACGTGTGTAGTATGTGCTATTATAGTGCTCCAATGCATTTTCTTTGTGCCATATTATATGACATTTAGAAGTCAACACAGAATGGCAGAAAATCATGGGCATTTGACAGCAATAATGTTAGAAGGGTATGGACCCTTGGTCTAATCCATTATGATTATTTTTATGTGCTTAAGAGGCATCATGAATTCAAATTAGATTTTATTTGTAGTGAAGGATATAAGAAAAACCAAACATAAGTTGGAAAAAAAGATACACAAATACAGAAAAGTAGTATTAAGGATGTCATACTGGAAATTTTGCAGCATCATGGGACTTACCTTAGCATTGGAAAGTGAGTTGTCCTAGAATGATTTCATTCATTTAGAAAACATTGGTGGACACTCTAGCAGTGTAATCTGTTGAGAATGTCTGATGGGAAGAGGAAAAAAAATGAGTAAGGTTGTTTAGGCTTTAAACTTTTATGGGTGCCTGGGCTAGCCACTTTCATATTGTTATTAGCCACTTTTTACATCAGCGTAATACAGCACTTGCATGGCTTGAGTTTTGAACTACTTTTGGAATTGGATACATTTTCCCTGGAACAGCACATTTTGTGTATGCTTGCACATTTTCTATGTGCAAACCTTCATCCACCAAAAAAAATCTAACATTGATTAGAACCAACAAAAAATTACACACAGTTTTGCATGCTTTTGAGTTCTGTGAACCCTTTCATCAGACCAAGTGGTACGGAAACAAGGGGATGGAAGTAGAAACAAAATCTACACTTTTGGCCAGTGTTATGTTCATGAGTTTTGCATTTTAGACAGACATAGTCTCCAAATGGAGGTCTGCAGTCTAAATAAAATAGTCTATGGTAACAGTAACATGACAGGAAAATTAGATGAGGTCAAAATGTGGCCTCAATTGACTTTTTACCTAACATACTACCTAAAATTACTCTTAGAGTTTGGTAATATGAAGACTGTCATATTTCTCAGTACATCTGATTTATGTTACTTCAGGAACCTGTCTGCTTCATGAAAGGCAAAAGGCTAGTTACAGCTAGCTTTAGTGTTCTCAGAAATGGAGATTAGCCGCTGCTCTTCCTTTCCAAAATGAATTTCTGGGCATCTTTTGATACCTGCAACAGCTACCACTGACTAATTTAGTCTGGAAATCTCCCTTTTGGGATCTGTCTTTTTTCTCAGTACCTGGGGTCCAGACAATTACTTTCTACCTAAAGCTAAAACTCTCATTCCTTTTCCTGGGTTCTTTTGTTGTTGTTGTTAGTCGCGAAGTCGCATCCAACCCATTGCTATCCCATGGACAACACTCCTCCAGGCCTTCCTGTCTTTCACTATCCCCCGGAGTCCACTTGAGCTCACACCGACTGCTTCAGTGACTCCATCTATCCACCTCATCCTCTGCTGCCCCCTTCTTTTGCTGTCAATTGTTCCCAGCATTAGGGTCTTCTCCAGTGAGTCCTTCCTTCTCATTAGGTGGCCAAAATATTTGAAGTTCATCTTCAGTATCTGGCCTTCTAAAGAGCAGTCAGGGTTGATATCCTCTAAGACTGACTGGTTTGATCTCCTTGCAGTCCAAGGGACTTGCAGAAGTCTTCTCCAGCACCACAATTCGAAGGCCTCAATTCTTTGGTGCTCAGCCTTCCTTATGGTCCAGCTTTCACACCCATACATTGCAACTGGGAAAACCATAGCCTTGACTATATGCACTTTTGTTGGCAGGGTGATGTCTCTGCTTCTTAGTATGCTGTCTAGATTTGTTATAGCTTTCCTCCCAAGGAGCAAGCGTCTTTTAATTTCTTGGCTGCAGTCACTGTCTGCAGTGATCATGGAGCCCAAGAAAATGAAATTTGTCACTACCTCCATTTCTTCCCCATCTATTTGCCAGGAAGTGAGAGGACCGGATGCCATGACCTTAGTTTTCTTAATGTTGAGTTTCAAGCCAACTTTTGCGCTCTCCTCCTTCACCCGCATCAAGAGACTCTTTAGTTCCTCTTCACTTTCTGCCATTAGAGTGGTATCATCTGCATATCTGAGGTTGTTGATATTTCTCCCAGCAATCTTAATTCCAACTTGTGGTTCCTCTAGGCCCGCCTTTCTCATGATGTGCTCTGCATATAAGTTAAATAGGCAGGGTGACAGTATACATCCTTGCTGAAAACCAATCAGTGGCTCCATGCCCAGTTCTCACTGTTGCTTCTTGACCTGCATATAGGTTTCTCAAGAGACAAATAAGATGGTCAGGTACTCCCATCTCTTTAAGAACTTGCCACAATTTGTTGTGATCCACACAATCAAAGGCTTTAGCATAGTCAATGAAGCAGAAGCAGATGTTTTTCTGGAACTCCCTAGCTTTCTCCATGATGCAGCATATGTTGGCAATATGATCTCTAGTTCCTCTGCCTCTTTGAAACCCTGCCTTTTACCCCTGCATAATGAGCACAGTTAATATTGGGCATGGGGGTGACCTACTCAGCCCACGGCCCACTCCTAGGCTTTGCTTGCCAGCTAACACACAAGAAACACAGGGCTCATTATTAACAATAATGTGCTACCTCGGTTCACGAACTTAATTTGTTCCATGATCCTGGTCGCAAACAGAATCAAATTTCCCCATAACATTCAATGCAATAAGGTTAATCCCATTCTGAACCATAAGTAATTTAAAAAAAAAAACACAAAAAAATGAGCCACCTCCCCAGGCTGCGGGCCAAGCTATGGCTGCCTTGCTGAGCCCGGGGGCAGATGGGCCTAGGGGGAGTGGGAGCGGAGCCGTGGCTCCCATGCCTCTGCCGCGGCCTTCTCAGGGCAAGCCGCCACTGTTGAGCAGCTGCCATGCTTCTTCCCCCTGCGGTGGGAAGAGGTGGGAGGTGCCCCACTTGGCCGGCCACGGTCCCATCCCTCGCCTCAGTCCACGGAAAGCAGCCATTACCTCCCTCCTCGCAACCCTCTCCCAGCCAATTACCTCCCTCCTTGCAGCCCTCTCCTGGCCGGGAGAGCCGCCCTGCACCTGCCTCTCCAGCCTCATGCTCCCGCTCCCCCTCCTGGAGCTGGCGAGTGCCTGTGAGGGGACCTTCCTCTGGCTCGGAAGTGGGGCCACGATGAAAAGTTAGGAAGGCCTCGACCAAGGTAAGTGCGCCCTCATGGCTCCCCCTCGTGTTGTGCTTTCCCTTTCGGCGGGCGGCACGGCATCATCTTGGGCTTCTGCTGCAGTCGGAGCGAGCAGAGCAAACCTTCTCTGAAGCGCCTGGTGGGACTCCAAAGCCTACCAGATTGGCAGCGCAGGAGCCATACTCCCGGGCAAAGCAGGGATAGGATATCTCAAGAAAGCTGCGGGAAGTGCTGTGGGGAAGCACCTGTAATATCCTAAAATGGGAGAGAAAGTGTTTGCAGGGACTTGGGAAACACCTTTCTGGCCCGGTGGCTTGGGAAGTCGATTTTCTTCCTCGGCAACTGCCCGGAATGCTCTTGTGAAGAGGGGCTAACATTTTCTTAACACTCCCAAAGGTATAATCATATATGAAAAGTTACAGCAGTCAATATAATCTGCTGAATCCACAATGTGTGGTATTTCTAAATTGTTACATTTTCATATTATAGCTGTTAGCCAGTATAAGTTCTGATCTTTGGCATCCACCTAGTAGTGTACAGGAATGCACGAAAATGTTCCTATTAGTAAGACTGAGTGCAAAAATATAGGATATTTTAGCCTTTAGGAAAAAAAAAAAACCCCCACAAAAATATGAAACAAAGTACAGTATAGTATGAAGAGAGAGAACACTAACCTTGCTTGAGGTGACTTCTGGCATGGAGGACAGGAAGGTGGGTGGGGAGGAGGTTATTGTTTGGAGTGTTTGGGCGAGGAAGATGGCCGTGTTTGTGTTCATCACCTGATGCGGAGTTTGCAAACGAAAGCAAAATTTTGCCGAACTTTCAGTTTGTGAGTCAAATTGTTCGAGAACAGAAGCGTTCGTGAACTGAGGTATTACTGTATATGAGACAACAGTAACTTTTGAGGATTGCATGTCTCCTTAATGCCAAGGCCTGCACTAAAAGAGAAGCACCACCCAGGTCTCCTGCAAGAATGAAAACATTCATATTTCTTATAAAGCTGTATATCCACCCATCCCAATAAGCCTATCTCAGCCTTAATACATTGGTACCTTGGCTCATGAACACCTCAGTTCATGACCAAATTGGGTCACAAACAGAAATTTCAGAAAAATTTTGCCTCAGGTTGCGAACTTCGCCTCGGGTGACAATCACGATCGCGCCTGTCTTCCCTACACGAACGTGACTGCGGTCCTGCTCGGGGGGTGGGGGGAGATGGCTGTGATCGCACCCATCTTCCCTTCCCGAGCACGACCATGATTGCGCCGGTCTACGGCTGCGATCACAGTCGTGCTCGTGCAGGGAAGACAGGCACAATCATGGTCATGCGCGGAGGTGGAGTAGATGGCTGCAATCTTTGTTGTTCTTTGTCACTTTGTTTCAAATTTTTGTGATTTAAAAAAAATGGTTACAGAACAGATTAACCTTATTTACATTATGGGGAAATTTGACTTGGCTCATGACCAATTTGGGTCGCAAACAGAGTCGTGGAATGGATTAAGTTTGTGAGCCAAGGTGCCACTGCAAATTGTACTGCTGCTATGATCAACTCCACAGGACCACTCCACCCTGCATTTACCTCAAACAACCAAAACACTAGGAAATTGGATAACAACAATTGGGCTACTTTTGAGGGCCAGCATAACCTTCTTTTAGTTTCTGCTCTGCCTCCTGTAGAGTAGCTACAATCCTGAAGAATGATACCTGCATGCATTGTCAGGGTCATTATTAAATGACCTTTACAAACTCAGGAAAAGGCATAGTGAGGCCCAAGTTAGAAAGTTCATGAATTCCACTTTTTACTCCCACCTTTTCCTTTTGGGTAGATAAACTACTGTCCAATCTGAGTGACACTAAAATCCTGGTTTTTTGATTTGGTTTTTGGAGGCACCAATCACATCCCACTAGGAAAGACCCTCCAAAACACTACAATGTGCCAGGAAATTGTTTCTGCAAAGGGTGGATATGTCAAACATCACTATGACTTTCTTTATTGGTTAAAAACCCTGACAGGGAGTAGTAGGCTATTTCTCCTTACAAACAAATGTGTAGAATATTTTTTTGCTTCATATATCAGGTTCCACAAGGGTCATTGACTGTTTTTACTAGTTTTAAATGAAAGTTAGAAATCTGAGGACTCTCTCTCCTTCATAGGTGTGTAAGTGCCTCTTCCCTTCCCCCTTTCTGAGGATACCTTTTAAGGTCAGCTCCTCCAGCATAGCTACCTCTTCTGAAGAATGTGAACCAAACCATGGAGACAAAAAGTTAACACTGAATTACACTTGTGCTAAGAATCTTTTCTCGTCACTATTTTTTCAAAGGAATTGCCTGAAAACATGCTATTTCCAGGAATCCAGTAGTATCAGAAGCAGTTGTAAGTACTTTCCTCTGAAGTTAATAACATCTGCCCTCTGGTGGTAACTTCCGGTGGAGACCCCTCACAATTGCTCCTGGGGAGTACGAAGACCAGGCTGTCTTCCAAGGCTTAGTTTCAGATTTAAAGGTTAAGGAGGATGATCGGGTTTACTTGGCAATCACATAAGACAGAAGGAAAGAAAACCCTGTGTGAGTGCGTGCGATCTAACAGAGATTTTAGAACATTTTCACTACAGCCCAAAAAGTGTCTTCAAGACCAGTTCTTATTTTTTTTGGTGCATGAATGTTTTCCCTGCAGGACAGAAATTGAATCGAGCTTTTAAAAAATGTTATTTGAATCTTATCTAGCCAATCTAAGTTTTTTTTACAAAATGAAGAAATGCCAAACATGCTTTGGCTATCATTTGTGAAGATATGTCGTGCCTGGCTGAAATCCAAGACTTCTTTATTTAGAGCAAACACCACCTGATCGGCACAGGATGTCCATATTTCTTTGAATTCAGAGAGTTCAGGGTACCCCTTTAGGACTGCAATGCATGACTGCAAAGCACAATCTCTTAGTTCAACAAACGTTCATTTTCCTTTGGAAAATTTGCAACCGACAAACTCACCATGTGTGTGCCCATACATGCAGTCCACGGATGGGATGCAGTCCACGAAACCGTATGTCATGTAATATATGTTACCCTTTACGCTGCCACAAGACTCATCGTTTTTGATACAACAAGCTAATAGAACTTCTTGATGTTTTCTCTGTTTCCCCTCCTTCCTTGTTACTCCCAGTCCGCAGTAAGTTTAGAAGCTTGCTTATGACTTCATCCAGTTCTTCCTAATATAGATATTACGATAGAGCTACCAATAGGATGATACAGAAAATACCATTACTACTAGAATCACTATAGCAACAATTTAGCCATCAGTCACTCAGTCTCCACCTTAGCCAATACCCTCAAGAAACGGGGTTCTCTGTCTCTGAGTGTGTGTTTTAGCACAGTTAACCTTTTCCTTATTTGCAGGCAAAGGCTCACACTTTTCCGGTCATGTGATTTTGGCTAGCCCAATCATCATCTGAAACGTAAACAGCCTTCCAGCTTCCCTGTTCAACCATGGAAACTATCATTTTTCCGATGCCTACCTTCCTAGGATTCGGGCTATGGAGAGTGACTGACAGTCTTATTTTCGAATCACAGGCAGAGGCTGAGTTTCAAGGTGAGTCACGCCTTCTCACTGGAAGCTCGCCTTACTTGAAAGAGGTAGCAAGGCGTTTCTGGCAGGTTAGATGAGGAAGACGAGCGTTAGCCAATAAGAGTTCGCTTAGAAAGGTGGAGGAGGGGCCTGAGAAAAAGATTGGCGTGGGGCCAGCCAATGCTGTGTAGCGGTGGCTGCTGCTCCACGTCGGCATCGGGGCGACCAAGATGGAGGCGCTGATCCTGGTAGGAGCCGGAGGGGCAAGAGCGGGGAGAGGGAGAATTGCTGGGGTGCGCGTCCATTACTACGGAGACGGGCTGGAGGGCGTGTCGGATCCGACAGGTTACTGCGGGACCTCGGCCTAGTTTGGATCCGTCCGATCAAGCCGAGGCCCTGCTACTTGGTGGGAGGTTGTTGGACCTGCCCATATGTCTGAAGATGAGAGCGGTGGACAACTTCTTTTAGTAGAGAGAGAGGAGTTCCAAGTACCACTTAGAGGGCCTCGGGTGAGCTCTTGTAAGGCAAGCTTCTCCATTCTGGCGTCCTCCAAATCTGTGGGGTCCCAGGTTGGGGGAAGGCTATTTAATAGGAAATTGCAGGGACTCTCTAAGAGAGCTATTACACGGTTGGTAGGGAAACAGGGAGGCTCAAGTTACCCACCCCTCAATGTCAGTCTTTTTTTTTTTTTAAATGCACAGGGTTGCTCTCCTGTGCCAGGAGGTTTTGCAACTGTGTTCCAGGGAATCTTGGCTCTCCTCAGGGAGGTAATAGGTAGTGAGGGATATGTTTCTTTCTCACAGAGCTTGCCACCACTTCTGAACAGATGCTGCAATGAGCAGCTGGTGAAGAGTTTGGTGTGCTAAGGTGCACTCACAGTTCTTGCAGGGCCACAAGTGAAGCCCGGTGGGATTGGTTAGTGTCCTGGGAGAACGTTGTGTGAATCATGGCTCACAATCCTCTGCAAAAGGCAGAGTTTCCTCAGCAGAAAAATCTGTGGAAAAGGTAGGTTGAAATTTTGAAAAGCACTGGGGAAACAAGGCCTGTGAACACAAGAGTGCTTTCTGTGGCTTACTTGGTCGGTGCAAATTCAGTGGCCCTTATATTGTATTGTTTCTTTTATTTATTTATTCAGAGATCTGTAGTTTGCTTTTAACTGTGCTTGCTCCAGGGCTGCTTCTGGTAATAGCAAAACAATTAAAATAAATAGAAAACTCAACATAAAAATTGAAGTGACAGAGCAGTAAAAACAGCAGCAGAGTTAAAACCAATTCGGACAATTTTTAAATGTTATTTTTCATCCCCCAAAAAAGCCTAAGAATGCATGCTGTGTGAGCCTTCCATAGCAACCCTTGAAGATGCAGGCATCTAGAGAAAGGCCTTCATAGATAGCTGACCTACAGGCATGTCCTTCAGAGGGTCACTTTAGGCTCAGAAAAAAAAAAAAAAAAAGAGGGTTTCTACCCCCCCCCCCACCAGGATTCCTGGGTCCTTACCACAAGGATAAGGAATGTGTGACTCTCCAGATGCTGATTGATAAAAAGCCCTGATCTAGACTTTGGTGGATAGGAATGTAAAAAGAGCCCTGTTGGATCAGACCAAATGTCTGTGCTATAGACCAACATCATCTTTCTCCATTATCCAGCTGGATGATGGTGGGGGTGCTTCCAGATGAAGGGATCACCAATCCAGATATGCAGTATAGCTCTTCTGTTTCCTCCTTCATGGATTTCTCATGGAAATAAAGCAGATGGATGAAGCAAAGTGAAGACATGGGAGGGTTGCAAGTGGAAGACAGTGACATCTGGATCTCTAAAAATCCGCATATCAGCCAGGGTTGATAGCATAATAAAGCCCTTGTCTGGAAGCACTGTGGGAAACCTACCAGGAAGATAAAGAGGAACTGTTGTCCAATTTGATAGACTTATCCTGCAATCAGAAACCTCAAACCAATTTGATTTTTGAGGTTAAGATTGCAATTGAAGCACACTTGCTAGGGAGTGGATCTAGGATTGTGCTGTGATCATTACTTTCCTGTGGGGTAGGCATTTCCATGGAAAGAAATAGAGAAAATGTTTTGGCAAAATGCTTGATTTGCTGTGGGGCTCACATGTAGCTGTGTATTGTAAACTGGGGATTCAAAGTTTAGTATAGTACACTGTATAGTAAACTTTAACCATGTGTCAGGTCCTATCAGGGCGCATCACCATCAGTGCCACTTACTGTGACACAATATCCTGGTTATTTATAATGCAAATGTATATACTTGAAATTTTAGAATCTGTTTGCAGTCTTCCAGTCTGAAGACTTAGAGGTTTTTTGAAGAATATCTTGCTGTTTTCTTCTGACAGTGTTCTTCAATTTGGAATCTCTTTGCTTTCATAAGTTGCTTTGCAGGCTGGGGTTGAAACTTTCATGCATTCGGTAACCGTATGGCCTTGCCCCTATTCTGAACATTGAAGAACCACCTGTATGTATTCATCTGTTTGTCAAGCATGTTTTAAATGCATGACATGCTATTATCACAAATGCAAGTTGCTTCTGCACCATTAGGAAAACACCCTGATAACTCTTGACATATTTGAAGGTTCAGGGAAGGGTTTTTAATTGCAGTCTAAGACACTCTGGAGCCTCAAATGAAAATCCAAAATTATACCCTCTTCATGCTAAAAGATATAATCATAAATCTCATCCCTTATAATTTGCCATCCTCTAATGTCACACCAGATCCAATTCTAGTATGGCCAGCCCTTGCCTGTTCTTGCCTGACCTATTCAGTTTTAACTTTAATTTTCAAATACTAGCTCTTCTGTACAATTGTGATTTTCCCTATCCGCTCCCCCTCTTTTTAAAAGTTATATCTTTTCTTCATATGGCATTTCATGACCTGGAGCAAGTTTCTTCTGCCTGGTGTCCTCCATGTGTTTTGAATTACAGGTCTCTGCATTGTTGACCATTGGCTGTCTTAGCTAAGGCTGATTGATACTGAAGTGCAAAACATGTGGAAGGCACCATGTTAGGGAAAACTGACCTAGAGGCCGTTATATAATCCCCGTGTTCTGATACTGCTGCCTCTGGAAAAGTGTTTTTATGGTCCAGTAGCTAAAATCCTTTTTCTAAGTATAGTTGGAAAATAATGGTGCTGGAGGAGAGCTTTGTGAATACCCTGTGACAGAAAGATGAAATGGGTCCTAGATCAAATTAATCCAAAGCTTTCCCTAGAAACAAAAATGACAAAACTGAGGCTGTCATACTTTGAGCACAACATGAGAAGGCAAGACTCATGGGACAAGACAATCATGCTAGGGAAAGTCAAAATTGAAAGGGAAGACCAAATATGAGATGTATTGACTTCATAAAGGAAACCACAGGCTTGATTTTAGAAGAGCAGGGCTGCCATAGATAGGGCATTTTAGAGGGATTCATTCATTCATTCATTCATTCATTCATTCATTCATTCATAGGATTGTCATAAGTCAGAGATGACTTGACAGCACCTAATAACAAAATTAATAGCTTTCATCTAAGTGTAGTTAGAGGAACAATTGTATAGTGCATTTAAGTGCAGACTTTGTTCCTAAGTGTTTATTCAGTAGTGGGTTTGCAGAGAAAGAATCTAATTTCCTACTAGTGGGAATGCTTTTGGGCAGTGTTATTTCCAGATTTTGGGGGGCACTTAGCATAAGACACTTTCAGGTCCACCTCATCACCTCTTTGTCACTACCAACCCACTTTCCTCTAGGCCTAGCTGGCACTGAGAAGGAGAGAGGAAAGGGCTACCAGAGGTTACTCCTCTTTCTTAGCACTTCTCTCACTGTGCACTTTCTCTAGAGGGCAAGTGAACATGCAGCACCAGCAAGGACGCAGGAGGCTCCAGAAATTGTAAGAGATGCCCCAGTAAGCTCCTTATTAGAGTGTTGACCTTGGCCAGTTGCCAAACAGTGCCAAGCCTGTTTTTTGTGAAAGCATGGATTGCCCTTTCCTGAATTGGTAGAGCCCTGAAGGGGAAATGGGGTCAGTCGCTTGTACATGATTGCCTCATTCACTGACATGTGAGAAGTGTAAGCAGAGTTGTTTTCATAAGCTCTAGTGGGGCAGCTGGGTAATTTTAGATTCTATACTTCCTAGTCGTATGCCTCTGCTCTCCCAACAGCAGTGTGTATTACTTCACTTACTTAAAAATGTGTTAAGCCATTCTTCTCCTTCCACTGAGTGGTTTGTTGGACTTCTGCTCCAAAGCCCTGCTGTGACAACATCATTTGTTAGCTCTAAGGGGCAAGTAAATAGGTCTGATTCCTCTGTCTGATGCTGGCTGTTACTGAATTATTGTGAGGATAAAATGGGGAAATGCAATGTGCTCTGAGCTAAACTTTTGAAAGAAGGGCAGTTTACTAATGTGATAACTGCATATTAACCCATTTTGGAGTAAGTTCCATCATGGAAACTGAGCACCAAGTAACTACATTTACTTTCATGAGAATCAGAGTGGATGTGCTATCTTGTTGGTGGCTGCCATCTTTGTCACTGATATTTCTACTAATTTTTATTCATGGCTGCTCATACCTGCCACATCCCAAACACCTCCTTGCCTCATTTAACCTTGTAAAAAATGTAAAGAAGATTTTTTGTATTTCTCATTTTACAGATGCTTCACTGCTGAGGCAACAGTTTCCCAGAGTTGTTCAGGGAATTCAGGGCTGAGCTAGGATTTGAACTGAGGTGTATAGGAAGCAGGCGATTATCATCCTAGAGTGATCAGAAAATTAGCTGTAACCATACTGGAGTTTCAGGCAGACCTATCAAAAGCTTTGGTTTGGTTCTTGGTGAGGTAACAGATCAGTTTGAACTGTATCATATGAATGGCAGTTGGGGGACCCACAGGAGGGAATGCTCCCCTTTTTTCACAGATTTGTTACAGATATAAAATTAACATGTAGGGGGAAAGTATTACTAGAACCCTTTACCTTGCCATCTAGTTTTTTTTAATGTGGAAAGAATTTTTTGTATGGTGAAATTACAGCCCTGTGGGCTCCTGCCTTCATTCTGTAGAGTTACAAGCTAGGCATAGATTTAATGCTTAGCTAAAAAGTAGGCCATAGTTTGGGCTAAAAATGGGATTGTCTAAACAATTTTGTGTTGGACACCCAGGGATGTAATTCACCATCATCCGTGTGAGTTATTTTACATGCAGTAGAGAGGGTTGTGTTATAGGTACACACTGTCTTTTTGTTTCAGTACTGCTTTGTTT